AGCAGCCTCAGCTTGCTGTGGGCAGAGGTTGCTTCGCAGCAGCCTCCCCTCCCCCCCGCCTCTGACAGAGGCAGCAGAGGCAGGCTCCCCCCAGCACCAGCTCTCATTCCCCCCTCTCTCTGCTGCCTCTCATACAGGTGCAGCAAGGTGGGGAAGCAAACAGTCAAGTACTCCACTGAACTGCCCAAGAAGCCTATGCTTATGGGATAGTTGAGTAGTCAACTACTCACTTACATTCCTAATTTGTCTACCACGTATTATGGCTTACAGGAGTGGTCCCAAATGTTTTATGTCATGGCCCTCCTTACCCGTAATGTAATCTCTCCATGCCTCCCCTGGGAGAAGGGGCCAGAGACTGAAGCCAGGGCTAGAGTTGCAGCTGGGACCATAGTTGGAATATAAACTGTTGCTGGGACCATAGCTGGGAGGACCACTGGCTTACAAATAGCCTTGAGTATGATGGATCTAGTTAGTTTAAATTGTTCACATTACCTTGGATTGATCCCAAATGATCCTCTTTATAAACATTTTAAAATTACTTACATGGGAATATACAAAAAAGCATTGGGGTACAGTATCTGAAAGTCATTACAAGTCTTAAATTACCCAAACATTTTCTATTGTGTGTGTGTGTGTGTGTGTGTGTGTGTGTGTGTGTGTGTGTGTGTGTGTGTGTAGTTTATTAGTTTGATGAAACAATTTTATATTTATCAATATGGAAAACTAAAGTCTACTATTTTCTTTTAAATGAAAGTATAATTTAATTTTCCATCTTGAGTCTCCACTTCTGGTATAAACCATGTTAAAACTGTGAACCATTCCCCACAGAGGGTTTTCTTTTAATTTCAGTTGGAATAAAATTCCCAGAAAATATTTTAGGATTACTCCAACTATTCTTCAATTATTCTCTATTTCTACTCTCCTCAGGCAAAGGTGAGGTGACTATAATGAGTTAGGCGAAGCAGTTGGAGAGAATGGAGAGATTAATTATGATGACTTCAACCCTAAATTTTTAACTGAATTATCACCTTGGGCTTTAGAAAAGTGTTGCCTTCTCAGTCTTAAGGCTTAAATTCAGCTACACACCATTCATTAAAAGTAGGGATGTGAAAGGGTAACAGTTAACCAGTTCCCAGGGAGCAGCACTCCCTAATCTAACCTTTAACCAGTTAACTGATTAATCAGGATTTTACATACCCAAGCCTAAATTCTTGGGTCTAGACTTTTGTGTGTGTAGGAGATACCTCCTTTCTTCTAACAGCATAATCACAGAGACAGCAGACAGAGTCTATTAGATTAAATAGTAATGCCTGGGTTCAGTTAACCACAATGACAAAAATGGAGCAATAAAATAACGAACTGGTGATTTATCTGTTTTTGGAGCTGAAAGCCCAAACTCAGAGGAGATAAATTGAAGCTTCCCCTTTGGAGCAATAATATAATGTGTCCATAAAAATAGCTTATATGTATGCAAAGACTTTTATCTCAAAGGACACCATATTACTTCACAAAGTATAGATCAAATTGTGGCTGCTTGTTTAGGTGCACAAGGGAAGGAGAAAGTACAGACGTCTTCCTTGACATCCCTCTGGTGCACATGCACTAGCACAGTCAGATGTGCTCTCTATCATTAAAGGTGGTGTTGAGTAAGCAAAATTGGGAAGTTAGTAGGGCCTGCTCTATGCCTCATATCCACTTCTGAATGTGTTATTATTCTGAAGCTAACATCGCATGGAGTGCAACTGTACCCATTTAAAGAACATAACAGTTGCCTGTTCTGAATACACTGAATCAGTCACAACCCTTCCCCCAACCAAAAATCACTGCTGTCTCCACCAACCAACATTCTCAACCTCAACGAAAGCCACAATATAGCTCCTTTACATCAACACAGTGAAATGCAGCCATCCTCAGGGTGGAATGCAGTAGCTATTTAACCATGAACAGAACATTACGCAATCATTTAGGACAAATAGTGAGAAAGAATGCTACAGCCACCACTTGAATCTGCAGAAGTTTTAGAGAACAAATGATAGTTTTTCATATCAGAATTTAACCAGAGCCAAATAGCCCATCTCTTTTAACCAGTGCTATAAGATCTTTAACCAGTAGCTAGCACCTCATTTTCAATGACACATCAAATAGACATGAATTTCAGCAGAACAGCTCCTTTCATGATACCAGAGCATGGGTTCATTACTGTCTAACAGCTTTACTTTCTGGAACAATGGTTTCTCTTTGGAGGCCTCATGCTGAAATTTTGACCAGTTCTGATACTGCTAAGGTTGAAAGTTCTGTCAAGATCACAATACCAGAAGCTGTGTTTGCACTACCTTATTTATTAGCAGCAGGTTACCCCACGTGTACATGTGATCAACTGCAAAGCATTAGTACTAACAGTATTATGTTATTTAAATGGATGAAGGAATTGGAGGGGATTTGGTCTAAGCTATGCAAATGTTCACAAACAAAATGCCTTACGAACATAAGTAGTGCCATACTGGGTCAGACCAATTGTCCATCTAGCTCAGTATCCTGTCTTCCAACAGTGGCCAATGCCAGGTGCTTCAGAAGGAAAGAAAGAATATGTAATCATCAAGTGACAATCTACTGTTACCTGTTTGCTTCTGTGAAATACTATAGTAACCTGGCACCTATTGAGAAAAGAGAAAAACCACCAATAGGGCAGTTCCCAAAATGACAGGAGATCAAAGCACAGTACTCAAAAGACACCAAAATGGTATACTCTTGCTCTGATTTCTGCACAACCACTGATATTTGTTCTAGATGTATCTCCTGTCAGAAAATTTTACATAGTGTCCTTTGATGCAGTTCGTCTTCTTCAGATAGACAATAACTGTGATGATAGTCAAGGTCTGTTAGAGGAAACAGTAACCTCAGTAACAAGGGGAGAATGAGATCTTGCCCAAAATATTGTTCAAGAGTAGTGAGAAAGAGTTCAACCTCAATGAGGAAATTTTGTGGTCTCTGTTACAAGCAACCAATACCCATTGCCTCAAAACGAGTAACAGAAATTAAAAACAAATTATCTGTGTTGTTTCAGAGTGGCTTTGATTCCCTGTAGGAATGTTAAAAAGTGGTTAATTAGATAACTGTGTAATCACTGAAAATCCCAGCTGGTACATGCTGCACACTCCCTGGGAGCAGAGTTGGCTGGCCCCACTCCCAGGGAGCCAGCAACACTTAGAGCTTAGCAGTGTAAGCTTTATACTACATAGCCCACAGTGTGAGGTGGCAGCCAGCTCCCTGGAACTAGGGTCTGCGTGTAACAGTTAACTGTTTAAATGGTTTACTACTGCATCCCTAATTCCTTGTTCAGAGAAAACTGCCTTGGCTCAGAAAAAGCACAGCTGGCACCAGCTTCTCAAAGAAAAAATATGCACATACTAACACACACACAATACTAACTCCTTCCAATACATATGAAACTCACTTGCCACCATACTGAGTGCAACACAACTTGTTTTAGAAAATACAAACGAAAGAAGATGCTGAAACATGGTTTTGCTTCTCCAAAAACGCATTTTCTGTTGACATTTTGTAAAACATCAATGGAACAGTTTTGAGTTAGAATAAAACAATTTTTTCCACTAACAAATGGGTAAGTGCCAGTTTAGGGAAGCAGTAGTCAGATAAAAAGGAGGGAAGAGCCAGTTTCAGGGATGGGAGAAAGAAACAGAAGCTACAGGCTTCCTCCAGTCTCCAATTCTGAGCAGAAACAGCACTTTTTAAGGCAAACAGGTTTAGCAGGTTACAGTCCTGAAGATGTCTGCAAGAAGTTTCAGCCTGCCTTTTTCAGAACAGGAATGTGGGTCATCTGAAGAAGTGGGTTGTGCCCACGAAAGCTCATGATACCATCTACATGTTTTGTTAGTCTTTAAAGTGCTACCAGACTATTTGTTGTTTTTACATTTTTCCTGTTGCACATACCTCTCTGAAGCAGGCATGTCAAACTGGCATTTGGCAGGCCACATATGGCCTGATAGAAATTTTTTGCGACCACCAGAATATTTTTATAAAAGGATGAAGTGTGGCCCACTGGCCGCTCGGAGCACGTGGCCAAGTGCCTGCTCACAGCCAGCCGGGCCGCACTGTGCCGCAGCAACTGCTCACAGCCGGCCGGCTGCTCTGCGCACGTGTTCACGGCTGGTTGGGTGCTCTGCACTGGGCACTCCAGCAGGCACTCACAGCTGGCCGCTGTGCTCATGCTGCCCCAGCACCTGAGGCGGCAACATCGACTCTGGGACCCACGTATTAGTTTGGGGGGGCCTGGCTCTGGGGGAGTGGAAGGGGATTAGGTTAGAATGGGGGTATGGGAGTGCCTGGCTCTGGGGGAGAGGACGGGGTTATTTTGTTAATATTTTGTTATTTATTTATTTATTCCCAAATAAAATCACAAAATGTGTATTAATTTTATAGCAATAAATGTTGATTTTTTGCAATTGCATAAATAATTATATCTTATTAAAAATCTCAAACTTACAAAGTATCTGAAATTTTCACAGAAGCCTGTTCTATTTAATTA